TTCTGATCTTGCATCATCACTGACCTTTACCTCCTTTCCTCCCATCTCGATGGAAAGGCATCCTGTTTTTCCCCAAGGTTAAAATTTAAGTCTAGAATCATCATCTGTCCTTAAAGGTATTTTTTATAAATTTTTTTTTCATTCTGAAACTATTCATCAAGTTCTTTTTTTCAAAAGATTTTTATTTTTTTAAGTGATCTCCACCCAATAAGGGGCTTGAACTCAAAACCCTGAGATCAAGAGTCTGCTCCACCGACTGAGCCCAGTTAGGCGCCGCATCAAGTTCTTCATCTGTACTGATAAACAAGATCTCCTGTATATAGAATATTCCCTCTAGATATCACTTTTCTGAATTTTCCACCAAAATATAATGATTTCCTTTATTAAAACAACATGTGTTTAACTGACTATTATTAAACCAACATGTATCTAAGTGACCACACTGGACATTATATTTGGCATTGGAAAAACCTAAGATAAGTATCTTCAGGCATATAGACTGAGGAAGATAGAAACATAAACAGATTATAATACCATGTATTAAGTATAATAGTGCCTATTTTCACAGTAAAATGGACATCTTTTCCCATGGGATGTTCTTCCTATAATTTTCTTTTTGAGTGACACAGATTTTCTTTGTTCTCCTAAGCTCATTTGAATTGAGTTTCTGTGGCTTGGAGAAAAAGAATATTGATTAATAGACTCAAGTCATCTAACTCAGTAATTGTCAGAGGAGACTTCCAGGAAAGCTTTGTGGAAGAAGTAATGAGTAAAGTGAGTAATTATTAAATGAATAAGAATCAGGCTCTAGTCAGAGTAAGTAAGGGGCAAAGGTGGGTATGAGGAGGCAGTCAGGGTAGAAGAAATAGCACCAATAGAAGTTCTGAGGGGAGACACAGCTTAGTGTGTGTAGGAAAATGTCAGTTGGTTTCTCTGGAGAGGGAAGTACATGGCAGGAAACAGCAGGTGAAAAGACTGGAGAAATGGCCAGGTATCAGAACACAGAGTATCTCAATAGGTCATGTGAGTGACTTTGGACATTGTCTTTAGGTATGGGGAGCCAAGCAGGGGAGTCATATGACCAAGTTTGGCTCCTGGTAGGATGGATATAAAGAGGACAAGTCTTAAAACATATCATCTTCAATCTTGAACCCATTTTCTGATTGCCAACTCCCCCTACACTTCCCGTTGCTTCATTTTTTTTTTTTTTAAAGTAAGAGAGCATTTATGGCTCGCTGCCACTTAAAGATGCTGACCTTCCCTGCTTAGCATCTCACATCAGTATTTTAAATCATATTCATGGACATCTTTGTTTTGCAATTGGGAGAGGAGAACAAAACTCAGGATGAGAGGAAGGGTTGAACACCAGAAAAGTGAAACAGGAGAGAGGGCATTTGTGCCCAACAGTTCCTTTGAACTAAGTTTGATCCTCATTTTGAGAGTGAATGACTTAACCACACTGATGGACTCTGGCAGAAGGCGTTTTATTCAAGATGATTGGGATCAGTAGTTGTTTAATGAAAAAGTTTTATAAAATATGGAATAATAATCTTTTTTAAAAAATTAGTTTCAGAGGTAGAATTTAGTGATCCATTAGTTGCATATAACACCCAGTGCTCATCACATCAAGTGCCATCCTTAATGCCCATTACCCAGTTACCCCATCCCCCCACATACCTGCCCTCCAGCAACCCTCAGTTTGTTTCCTGGAGTCCAGCGTCTCTTATGGTTTGCCTCCCTCTCAATTTTCATCTCATTTTATTTTTGCTTCCCTTTCCCTACGTTCATCTGCTTTGTTTCTTAAATTCCACATATGAATGAAATCATATGATATTTGTCTTTCTCTCACTTATTTCACTTAGCATAATACACTCTAGTTCCATCCATGTTGTTGCAAATGGCAGGATTTCATGGAATAATAATCTTAACAGAAGGTATATATCTTTAATTCTATTTTAACCTAAATAAATATACTATAAGTAAAAATGATTTGCCAATCTTTTGATTTAGGGCCAAAACTAATTAGCTGCACTGATTAGAAATCTTTGTTTTTCTTGAAACCACAGCCTCAATTTGTCACATTTAAGTTTCTTTAAACTGATGTAAAAATTAAATTAATTATGAAACAATTTAATATAGAATTCTTCTAGATTTTCTCCAGTCTTTTACAGTTGCTTCTTATAGGCCTCATTTGATAGCAATATTTGTAGCAACTTTCCTTTGGAGGGATTGTGTGACACTATAAAAGGGCAACATGAGGAATCTTTCTGGTGACAGAAATGTTCTGTATTTTGACTGCTTTAATGTCAATATCCTGGTTGTGTTATTGTCTTATAGTTTTTCCAGATGTCACTATTGGGGGAAATTACTAAAGGGTACATTGGATCTCTCTGTATTATATCTTAAAATTGCATGTGAGGCTATAATAACCTTAAGTTTAATTAAAAAAAAATATTTATTGAGCCGCTGTTATGTGCCAGGCACTATTGTAGATACAGAAGATATTGCAGTAAATGAAACACAAAAATCTCTGCAGTTATAGAGTATACATTCTAATAGAGGAGAAATTCTAGTGGGTGAGCCCAAATTTGCCCAGTATTCTGCCTTGGCATGAAACACAGTGCCATTATGGAGGATGGAAACATGGACGTCATAGGGTCATTTAGAAATAGTGTCCTTGAGATGGTCATTGACAAGGCATGTTCTCATGGCAGATGGAGAAGTTGTTCCAAATTACTTTGCAGGCAGCAGATGTGAGTGAGTGGGAGCCCAATCTAGAGAAAAAGGACATGGGAGGTGCAACATAATGATTCCAGTTGACTTACTGGCTTGTGGGTACATTAAAAAAAAATGAAAGCTTTGTGGAGGATGCTGAGGGTCTGCTGCTATCAGATGGAAGGCTATTGAAAAATTAACATTTGGGCTATATTTTCTGCCTTAGTTAAAAGCATCATCTACTTTGTCCCTCAGGCAGAGAAATATTAATGTCTTACTTGTCTCTTCTCCTTCCTAACACTCTAATCTGTCTACCTGGAATCTCCACCTCCTCACTTTCTCTAAACTTCCAGTATAAGTTTGATTGCTTTAACTCCTCAGTATCTATTCAGTAGTTTCATTTGTTAACCAAAATCTCACCACCATCATAATTCATGATTTACACTGTTTTCCAACTTACCTTTTAAAAATAAAAATCTGATCATGTCACACTTCTGCCTAAGGTTAGCCCCAGGTCCAAAATCTATAGACCGGCTTACAAAATGCCTCAGTACCTCACCCTATCAGATATTTCAGAACTCTGTTCTAAGCAGTCCCTGCAACATGCCCTGTCCTCATCGCTGACTTCCTTATCATCATCCTTATCATTCCTTGTATTTACATATACTTTCCCTACCATCTGAGTTCCCACCTTGCCATTCTGCCCAAACTCCAACTCAAGATTTAATATCTGTCCTAACATAACCTCTTTTCTGGAACTTTCCCTAAAATCCTCACATCTCAAAGTCAAGGAAAGGATTCTTTTACCACCGTAGCAGTTTCTATACAGCTGTCTTATAGCATTTGTCACACTGACTTGCAGTTATCTCTTGCTGAGTCTCTCTCCACTACAAGTCCTGCCACTAAGTAATACAGGAGGGATTGGGAAATCTTTCCAAAAGTAGATTCCTTCCTGTAATTGTTTTGGGGAGGAATTTTTCTCCTTGCTCATTTCTCCGTTTGTGCTTTTGCATTCTCAATCCTGGAGTGTTTGGATGTTCAGTTTTCTCTTGGAGGCAAAAAAGATCAAACCCAGCAGCACCCCGCCTTCCCCTCGCTCCCCAACCCACTGAGCTCTTTGCCAGTGTCCAGAATATGCCTTTATGTCACCTAGAAATGATTTACTTGAAAAAATAATCACCATTTGTCTTCCTCATTTGTTCCTTCTATTGACCTTGTGCTAAGGACAGCAGCTATTATCCCAACCATGTTCATACTTGAACCTTTGATTCAGGGAGATTTGTATGAATTCAGGTATTACTGTACTATGAACCCTGTCTCAGAGATCATCAGTTTTTTAAAGACTACTCATACAAAGGACACTATGTATTACTGAGCTTGAGATCTCTGTCTGTAAATTTGGTTGTCATCTATGTAGTGCCTGAGGTTCTTTAACATCAAAGAAATATATAGTGCTCTAATTTATCCACATCCTTACTATATCTACCAAGGAGATGCTATGTTGTCATGCTGATATATTCAGAACATTTCAGAGCCACACAGACCTTTACACTACTCTGCAAAATAATTATCAGAGCTTCTTGCATTTGCCAGTGCTTTTGTAATGATACACGGATAGCAGTGGATATCAAGGTCCAAAGAAGGACGGTTAGAGTGCCCTGAGACATACTCTGTGTTTTTATTAACACCTTAACTCACCCGTCCTACATTTTTTTCTGGTCTCATGCTATATTATTATTACTATGGTCATGCATCATAATCACGTACACACACACACACACACAGTGACACATACACATACACAGAGTGATGGATTATATATTTCTATTGTTCTCCTGAAGACCCTTAGTATTATGCATGTGATTTCACACTTAAAACATTTAACAACACTAAATTGAAAGCAGAAGAAGCAGGGGAGGGAACAGAAGGTGACAAATGAAGAGGGGGAGGGAGAGTGGGAAGGCAATGTGTAGCAGGAAGAGGCAAGGCATATGAGAAAACAGGGATGTGTCAAATTCATAGAAAATAGCAAGCCAATATCTGATTGATGGCATGCATTTATCGTGTGTCTCACGGTGCTTCAACCTAAGGGGTGCTGTCAATGAGAAAGGTAACTGTGTCACAGTGGCAGAGATCCCTATGTCTGCAGTAGCCATGGGTATAAAATTACTGACCTAGAAGTTGTTCTCCAAAAACTGGAGCATAGTGTTGCCTTCCTTTATTTATTTTATTCTTTCCATTCACATTTAGGAGGAAATCCCATCTTTTTGTTGTTGTTGTTCCAGAATCCCTGGAGGGCAGATTTATTCACCTACAGTTTCCAGAAGCCATCTGATTATAATCACCATGGGTAAGTCCAAAATCCCTACACTCACCTAGCAGTAAAAACAGTTCAGAGAGCAAATAGCCCAGCTCACTGAGCTGCTCCCTTCTCTGGCACTGTCCGTGGGCTTTGTGCTTCTTCAGTGCCAGACAAGCAGAAGTGCACAGTGGAGGGGCGCCTGGGTGGCTCAGTCGTTAAGCATCTGTTTTTGCTTGGGTCATGGTCTCAGGGTCCTGGGATGGAGCCCCGCATCGAGCCCCACAACGGGCTCCCTGCTTGCTCCCTGCTCTGCGGGACGCCTGCTTCTCCGTCTCCCACTCCCCCTGCTTGGGTTCCCTCTCTCACTGTGTCTCTCTCTGTCAAATAAATAAATAAAATCTTCAAAAAAAAGGAGGGGGCACCTGGGTGGCTCAGTCGGTTAAGCGTCTGCCTTCGGCTCAGGTCATGATCCCAGGGTCCTGGGATCGAGCCCCCATATCGGGCTCCCTACTCAGCGGGGAGCCTGCTTCTCCCTCTCCCTCTGCCTGCCACTCCCCCTGCTTGTGCTCTCTCTCTGTCAAATAAATAAATGAATAAAATCTTTTAAAAACAAACAAACCAAAAACAAACAAACAAAAAAAAGTGCACAGTGGAAAGAAGGGCTTTGAAGTGGCACAGACCTGAATTGCAATTCTAGCTCTGAAATAATATGACCTTGGGAAAATTACCTAACTTTTTCAAGTCTCTATGTCCTCAACAAGATTATTGTAAGGACTAACTGTACCAGCATTAATACCTGGCATACCAAGTCCTATAAATGGAAGTTTCTTTCTTCTTTATATCTACCTTAGCTGTTCACTCTTTGGGAATCTCAACTTGGACAGAAATGACCTCCCTAAGATTCTGACTTCTCGAGACATACGTGCTAACTCTGGAAGTCTCTGCCGGCCACAATCAGCAGGGGTGCTATCTTGGGTAGGAAGCTGTCCCAGTGGATGTGGTGGCTTCACTGATAGGATAACTTCCAGAGTCACTATCACAAAGAGTTACAGCAGGGCAGGGAGAAAACCAAAGGGTTCTTGTTGAAGGAACTGTGTTGATAACCAAACACGCGGGCAAGGGCGTAGCTGGAGGAAAGTCTAAAGCCAATCTGGAGATACAGTGTCAGGACAGAACAACTAAACTGTTTAATGACCTTATTAATGCCTGGGTTTAGCCAAGTCTAAAACAAGCCAGGAGACTCCTCCTGCATGACAGGTTTACTGGCCTTGGTCACTTTTGCCCTACCTCCTGCCTTACTCTGGCATGATTTCATGCAGATTGCTAATGACTTAACACTAACAGTCTGAAAGATTACACAAAGATTTGCAAATCTCCTTTTGATTCCCTAATCCAGCAAGTAAGCTGAAACCTTGGTCAGAAAATATTTCCTAGATATCTGTACTTTCTGTTATTGTGTGGCTAGTTTCTTTAGGGAATCACTAAGGTTTTAGAGCAAAAAATTCTGAATATGATCCCAGGAAGACACATCTGAATTTTGTCTGAAAAATGCAATCATGGGAGAGTAGGCCCTGAAGGATGGACAAAATTTGAGTGAGTCAAGAAAAATGAGCAGGCCATTCTTAGTTGAGAAATGAATAAATTCATGGCAGTGGGGATGATCCTGGCTTAGTCAAAGTTTAAATACCAGGTAGAGAGGTTTCAACTAGAAATGGAGGAGGCAGGAGGAATCTCTGTGAGAAGATGTTAGCACCCACAAACTTTCAAGCCCTTCATACCTGACACAATTAGACAATATGTGGGTTTAAAAAAAAAATTTAAGATTTAATTAAAAAAAAAAAGATTTCATTTTTAAATAATCTCTACACCCAACATGGGACTCCAACTTACAACCCCAAGATCAAGAGTTGCATGCTCTACTGACTGAGCCAGCCAGGGGCCCAGCAATATGCATTTTTGAGCACTAAGCAACTTACTTTATAACTGGCAAGAAATCAGAAAACATTTAAGTGTTCAGACTATTTCCTGTCAAGGCTTTAACAGTCACCCCTCATGTGAGAAGCACAAAGACCCTACATGACACTGTGGAAAGTTTCACTGTTAATAACGGGGTCCGTGAGTTCCTGAGAACCCCTGTCAGGTGGTGATACTATGTCTCAGAGTGCTAAGGTTGGAAAAAGAGGACTTGATAGATATCTTTCATCTAAGAGTTATTTATTTATTTTTTGTACTTGACACTGCTTTGAAGGTATTGAGGAAGAGCAAAAACAGCACCTTGCAAGGACAGTGAGATATCATTTACTTTTAATTACTCCCCAGCTCTCATCCTTAATTACCTACTATGTTAGCTGGGATTTATTGCAGAGCAATAATAGTGATGCTTTGCATTTACATAGTCCCTTTCTCCAAGGAGTTCAATGTACTCATAGTTATGACTTCACTATTAATCTAAAAATTAAAAATGTTAAAAAAAAATTACAGGGCGCCTGGGTGGCTCAGTCGTTAAGCGGCTGCCTTCGGCTCAGGTCATGATCCCAGAGTCCTGGGATCGAGCCCCACATCAGGCTCCCTGCTCAGCAGGAAGCCTACTTCTTCCTCTCTCACTCCCCCTGCTTGTGTTCCTGCTCTCGCTGTCTCTCTCTGTCAAATAAATAAATAAAATCTTCAAAAAAAAAAAAAATTCCACGGATAAGGAAGTTATAAAGGAACTATCTTCCCATTTTTCAGGTGGGACATATCCTAGAGATAGTTCACAGTAACAGCCAAACTTGAGGGACCCCGATAATCACCTTTCCCCTCTATATTTTACATGTTTTGTTTATTATACATGGTTCTTATGTTTGCTGATTAAAAAATATTTTCCAAGATATATAAAATGAAAATATCACAAAAGATTAAATAGTAATAATCCTATCAGGAGTGCAATACCTTGTCCACTCCAAGATTCAAATAATGGATCCCAACTTTTTTTTTTTTTAGTATGAAAATTCTTGCACAGTAGCAAAATATTATGAATATGCCAAAAGGATAGAATTTGCATCTTTAGGTCCGTTGATTAGAAAATATGTAATTAGAAAATTTACTGTGAATTATGCCGGAATATTTTTTATTCCATCCATTATCCTAAAAAAAATCCTGTGAGATAAGTGAGGGTAGCTCTAATTAACATCATTCTGTAAATGCAGAATGTTATTCACTCCAGTCTACATTCAATGAGCTTATACCCTTATTGCTTCAGACCTTGTAATCCCATTGCTTCTCAGAGGTCTGCCTCCCAGTGTTGAGAACAATTGGTTTAAGTTTTAAAACCATTGTTTTCAGGAACAACTGCTCATATACAGAATAATTATGTTGAACTTAAAACAAAGAACTGAAGAACATCATTCAACATTCAAGAGCTCCTCGGTAGTTGGTGAGCTACCCTGTAGGGTTAAAACTACTTAGACATTAAAACAATGGAATTTACATGCTTCAGAGGGTTTCTTTCCCCTTATCTTGTCTGTTAGAATTAATAAGTTAGAAGCATTCTGCTCAGAATGGAGGCTTGATTGCTTGCCTTTTGCTAAGGATCTGAGACGTGAGGAGACTGCAGTTTGAGATATTTACAGAGTAAGCACCTTTTGGACCCGAAACTGCCTTGCATAGTTTCTGTCTTTATATCTTATTGTTTGTATTTAAACACACTCTACTGCTAATAAACACATACTAGAAATTACAAGGTTTTTATGCCCAGGCTAGAGATCGTAAGGTAAACCAAGTGCTTTTTTTTTTTTTCCCCCTAATTTTTTTCCCCCTATTTGAGTAGTAAATTATGGCACACAAGATCAAGAAGTATCATGATCATCTTCTTCTAGAATTTTGTTTAGTAGTCTTCCCCTCTGGTTGTTATAGATAA